GAGTGCATTATGTTTGTTCGAGGTCTCAGTAGGGCAAACCATTTTAAACTGTCTGTGTGTCAAGATCAGGTGCCCTCTTCAGAGCAGACATTACAATATACTAAATACTACATATAAATAAATAGGTAGATAGATAGATAAGTATATAGATTATAGATTTATAAATTTGTAAATTTGTGTACGCAACTGCGGGTGTAGCCTAAATTATATCAAAAGAAGAGGGCATCTACTTCTTGGAAAGCCAATATCCTTGCTCTCAGGTCAGATATCTGTGGTGAATAAAGAGACAATAATTTATGAATGTGAATCAAATAATAAATTGACAACATGATGATGTTAAGACATAGATGCAACATTAAAGGTTAAGTTCACCCAGCGACAAGCCGTGTTAAGACCAGCCCTTTTTTTCTGTCTCGAAATTCTCGCCGCCCTCAAGATTCATATCGCACATTGGCTGGGGAGAGGATCCTGCAAAGGGCAAGGCTGCCAGCGGAAATTATAAAAGTGGGTTGAAAGGTGTTGCACCGGAGCCAAGCCTGCTTGAGGTGTCCTTGAGTAGAACGTAAAGCAATTTAGACAAAATGTTTTTGGTTTTGTGTTCCTACCAAACTTACCCAACCTTTGATGCGGTCACAAGAACGTAACACCACTGCGACACCACCGAAAACAAAACCAGGACACCACAGAGACATCATATTATAGACACCACCAGGACCACCCAAAGCAACTACGACACCACCAGAACACCACCGAGACACCGCTGGAACACCATCGGGACACCTCCAAAACAGCACCACTACCACCATCACCACCACCACCACTACCACCACCACCGCCACCACCACCACCACTACCACCATCACCACCACCACCACTACCACCACCACCACCACCGCCATCACCACCACCACCACCACCACTAACCACCACCACCACCACCACACCACCACACCACCACACCACCACACCACCACACCACCCCACCACCACCACCACCACCACACCACCACCACCACACCACCACCACCACCACCACACCACCACCACCACCACACCACCACCACCACCACCACCACCACCACCACCACCACCACCACCACCACCACCACCACCACAACCAAAACACCACTGAAGAACACCGCTGGAACACCACCGAGACCACCAAAACACCAAACCATCACCACAGTCACAACCGGGACACCACCACAGGCGCACCGCCCACTGGAACACCACTGGGACACCACCGGGACACCGGGACACGGTCAGGCACCGATCGCGGAAGGAATGGATTCACGGACACTTTCCAGGTCATAGAGTTCAAGACCCCATAGCTGGACGCTATTCGGGAAACATGTTTGACATGATTCAATGTGTGGCTCTTTCCTACTTGTTTTTGGCAAGTTTAACTCTTGGATGGTGTTCCTTCTCAGACTATTTATACCTTCCTGGCTTTGAGATTTCTGAGGGCAGGTCTTCCAAGCTGTTTTCCAAGATATCATTTCCTATTCCCTTCCCACTCACGATGGCTTTGCCAAGAAGGTAATAATGAGAGAGAGAGAGAGGACCTTCTGTTACTTGGCGACTGGGAACTCCTAGGGAAAGAGAGGCCGAAGCGAAGAGATCCAGCTTGCATACCACTCCACTTTCGCTCCCAAGTTTTGAAATATGAACGTTTTTTGTGGGAAAGAGAGGAATGGTCATCCTGACATTTACCCTTAGGATGTCTATTCCTCTATTTTTACACAGATGTCATGAATGGAAACTGATTGTTGCTCCCCATCCTAAAGTACTTCCACGGCATGTGGGACAAAGGAAGATAATGAAAGAGACGCGGCAGGTTTATTTTTAACCAGGAGTTCTGTGAGGATATGGTAGAAGAAAGGGGACTCCTGGAAGTCCTGGCTCAGGTGAGCGCGCGGATTGTGAAAGGTCGCATCGAGCGCACCAATCTTGGGGACTTGTGCCAGGCACTTAGCGGAAGGAGAAAATGGGTTTGGCCCGTTTTCATGGGTCTGGTGAGGGACCCCGCTTGGAGGGACCCACGCAAAATATAGAAGCTAATAAGGCCTAACGGCTCCTATTGGCTTGAAAGCGGCTTTCAGAGTTTCGAAGCTCGAAGCAAGGACCAAACCAACTCCATTGCTTGTAAGTATCTTAGGTTTGGCCAGAGTGTAAAGATCGCGTATGAGCATATTTTATCTTTTGGGTAGCTGGTTTGTCTTACACCAGGGGAACTACCTTGACATGGGTTTTCCTTTGCTCACAATGATACCATCAAAAACGATGCGCCCAAGGGTAGAAGATTGGTCGGGGTCCTTTGGCTTGGGGGCCAAATTTCCACGACGTCCAAATCGAATCAGGTCAACCGGGTATGGTGCTTCTCAGAGGAGCTTCTGTTGACGTGTCCTGCATGAGCATCTAGAGAGGTCCAAATTACCAAATTACTTTCGGGGGCGGTTGCCCTATAAACCACCACTGCGAGGATTGTCGCTCCAACGTGCCCGGTTGAAGGCAAACTTGCAGGACGCACAGCTCGACTTTGCAACGCAGAAGATGAAGCTGAAGCTTGGACACGCTGACCCCCGCCAACGACTCGTACGTCCCAAGTGTCGCTTCTTCGAGAAGTTTGTTTTGAGTGGTTACAGACAAGCTTGTGTGGAAGATCAGAATTGGTGGTAAACCAAAAACATGCTAGGCCAGTCAATCAATGTTCACTTTGGGAGAGAGATGTGGCACTGCCACTCACTAAATGCTCCGCCAGCAAACCACGGCGGAGCCCTCATTTTCCATGTCCTCTATCGAGATGGGCATATTTTGGCATTGGCCAGGTACTTTTGTCCCCACTCCCAACAAACGTCCCTTTCTGCTTCAAGTGCATTTGTCCTCTTGGAGGGGTTGTCCCTAAATCGACCAAAAAAAGGTATGTTTTTTACAGGGGGGGTTTAAGTTAAACTATCAAAGATAGGATGCCCTTGTTTCGCTTTGGTTTGAAGGGGTTCCCTTTGAAACGTCCCGCCCGTTAAACGAGGTGTTTGTGTTCTTGGGGTTTCAGCCGCTGGGTTTTCCCCATGGAAAACCCGCAGCTGGACGTTGGCTCATCCGTGAGGCCGCTACTTCAAGGAGGTCTACGATCCGGCCCACGGGTGCTTCGTCAGCGTGAAGGCCGGGGAGTTGTCAAAGACGGGGTTGCGTGATTCCGTTTCCCTTAGTGGGTAACCATAGGAGCCACCCTTGAAAACGCCAAAAGGAAACTGGCGAAGGGTTACGGACCAGGTTTCATTTTCTCCACCTCTTGATTACCAAATGGTCGACCTGGGTTGCGCACCAGGGCATGCACAGCCCAGCTGCCAGCTTTTTTCATCCAGTTGCGGAGTGGCCCCCTTTTTCCGCTTTTCCCTTGGCGATCGGATCGTGGGAATCCCAAGAACGAATGGGTCCCTTGGTCGCGTGCAACAGATCGCTGGATGCTTAGCTTATGACGACAGGGCGAGGAGCCAATGGCCACAGATCCTCGGCTGACTTCTGGTAGCACGATGGAGCCAGCTGATTTCGAATGAAGGAGACCCTTGCAGCCCACGCTTTGAAGCAACTCGCCACCTGGCCTACAAGCCGCCTGTTGGTAGGCATTATGACTTGTGGGTTCTAATAAAAATATGCGAAGAGTAAATGGTCTAGCAGGCTCTTGCCTGCGTGGAAAGACTGGAAATCGGGTTTGGGCCCTTCCCTGCTCAGATGCAGCCCACATAGGTGGCGCAGTGGCACTGACACAAATTGGTGGGCTGAAAACGAATTGTGTCGCAACCTGCTTGGCGCACGTTGGCTGGACATATATTTATCCCTGGTGAGTGGCCCCACATATTTCTTCCTTTGTTTGGTGGGCTCTAGGCCCACGAAAAAGTTCCAACCCTAGCGGAAGGGCTCCTTCTACCGTCGCTGGGAAACTGTGGCATTGCGACACATATATATATATATATATATTATAATATTGAACCATCAACCCACGCTGCTTACAGGCGCTTCGGAAATTCAAGCGGTATGAACAACTGCTGAGCCGTGCTGGTAGGGAGACGGTTGCTTTTCGGCGACCACTAGCTAACCATCTACACCTTTCTCTGCTCCTGCATTTCCAAGCGCCAGAGCTCTCAGCGCAGCCGGGCCTACACAAGCAAAGCGCCCTTTTGGCTTTGAAGGGTTGACTTCCATGCTTCCCTACAACGCAGGAACAAAAATTAGGCTGCGCGGCGGCCTGGGGGTTAAAAAACCAATGCCCTCAAGCTGAGAAAGGCCACCTTTGAAGATCAGACCCTCGATAACCAGGCAAACACCTCACGATCAATACTACCCCGAGCTCCAAACAAAGCAACTTTTGGGCTCAAAGTCAGATTGGACAGGAAAGAGGCCGGGTAAACGTAGAGTGCAGGGATCGTAATCGTCTTCTGGGCCTTACCGACCTGGGGGGAAGGAGGGGTACTTCCTGGTCAAGTACAGACAAATGCGCCAACCCGGGTCGCTTTTTTTCGCGGCCATGGCGAGAAAATGAGTCCTGCTGCGGACTGTAGGGGTAACTGGGACCCACCTGAACATGCATGATGTTGGCATGAACCAGTGTGAAGCCCACACCCTCTCCTTTCAATTGTGCAAAAGGGCAGGGGGCCACGTCATGGAGAAACATATTTTTCCGCGGGTCTGTGAGGCCTGTTCCCATTTATTTTGATGGCAGAGCACGTGCGGATCAGTAAATTTTAATAGTTTTCGGCCGGGAGCGGCGGTGCGCGGTATCGGTTGCAGCGTATTGGACAGGATCTGGCAACGACTTTTGGACGCTGCCAGATTCAGGCCTTAAATCACCCGGATCACGAAAAATAACGCATTAAGATCCAGCAGCCTAAGGCAAAAAATCGTTGCCAGACCCTGCGATTGCTTGAGAGGGAGGGAGCAAGTTCCCAATGCGCTGTGGGAGTTTAGGTTGGGCGCAGTTGTGTTTTTGTCGGCAGCTTTTGCGGGCTTGCCCATGTTGAGTCTTAGGGGACAATGTCCCAAAAACCAACCAATTCCCTGGTGGTTGGCTGCTTTGCAACTGAACTCGGCAGGTTGGTTTTGCAGAACACACTTCTCGCATCCCACCAGTTGCTGGACGTACAGTTTGGAAATCCACTCAGACACTGAGAAACTGAGAGTTGGGCGTCAAGAAAACACACAAAAGTATTCCAAATGTTCCTATTCAGCTTCCCTGTTGACCATGGAGAACGCACACACAGGTTTAAGTAGATGGCATAAGTCCCCCGGTTGTTGGCACCCCCCCTACTTCCCGACACAAAGGGAAAGGTGCCATATATTTTCACCCTGAACGCTGCCGTGCTCAGTGTTCCCTCAAACCAAACGCCAGGGGATGAACATGTGCGCAGATTTCAAGAGCTATGTTTCCAGGAAACTTTTCTACGTCCCTTTTTACATGCCTAGGTCCAGAGATGATGGGGGAGTCACATCTCCAACTGATGTTGGACGTGAACAAGCGCTTTCACACCTGGGAAGCTGAACCTCGGAACTTAGGGACCTCTAACTACCCCAGAAAGAAATGGGCGTTGCTATGCTCGAGCATAGGACCCTATGTGTCATGCTCAAAATTGTTATTTCGGTTGCGGAAAGTGGTGATAACTTATAACTTTAAACCATACTCATATCACTTGTCAATGATTACCATGCTCTTACAACCTAGAACCGTGGTTGCAGCCTAAGTTGGTACATCCAAGTATAGGAAAGTGCGGCATCCAAACATAGGAAAGGGGCAGCACAGGGCACTTGAATAATTCTCGTGGGCCAATGAAAGAGTCGCAATTACCGGCTGGATTAAACAACGCCAGTTAAAGCAGCTGGCTTTGGGATGTATCCCCCTTAAACCCCTCCAAAACGAATCTCGCTCTAAAATGGCGACCAACACGTGATGTTTAAAGCCACCAAAGGAGGCAATACCTGGGAGTTTTCCCAGTCCCAACAAGTCCCAAGAGGTCGCAACGCATCTGATCCGTGCCTGTACCCCGCGAAAGCGTCGACCAGGTGGATTTGAAGACCATCGAGAGGCTGCAATTGGAGCTCACCGTCCAGGCGCCGGCCAGCGCGGACAAAAGTCATTGCCCTTGGCGCCCCATAGGGCTCGACGTTTTGACTTTGAGGGTATGACAGCTGCCTCAAAGGCGGTTTATCCCACCAAGAGCTGAAAAAACTTTACGGAGGGGATCTGAGTGTCAAGCCTTTCCGGGGTTGGATGGCTTGCCGATGAACCGCCCAATAACATCCAATGAGGGCTGGTTCTTGGCGACTTCACTTTGGAGGAAAAAACAACAACCAAAAGACCCCCCATTTTGGTGTGTCACCATGTTTCTTTTCCGCTCTCGAAATGAATTCCCTTTTAGAGGTCATCTTCATTTACCAGTGCCATCTACTTTCTGCGGACACCTGGTGCTCGGAACACCCAAATCATTTCCAGAGTTCCAAGCATGCCAAGGGAACCATGGGCTCCAAAAAGCGAGAGGCGGCCATTTGGGTGTCTTTTTTCTTCACACGGGTACCCGTTTTTTGTGGTTTTAAAGGAAAACCAACCAAAACTACCATGTTGGGTGAGGGGGGTCTCTAAAAGCTCCCTGATTTCCGCAAAAGACCCAAATCAAATTGTTCTAGTACCACTTTGCAAGGATCCTGGCTTTGAGAAATGTGTCAAACTGCAATCCCGTTTTGGATTGGCTTCTTGAAACGGGTGAACAGAATGCTGGAAACTGAACATTCTCTGGGCCATTGGTTTGGGCAGTGTTGCTGTTGACCCCGGATTAATAAACCCCCGGTTTATTAATATGGGGGTGCTTCTCCCCGGTTTTAGTGGGGATTTAGACCACTTTTGGAGGGGAACACCCCCAGATTAAACCGGGGTTTATAAATCCGGGATCAACATGATATGCCTTATCCCTCTTCAAGATACCATAGCCAGGGCCCATGCCGTTCGCCCAGACAATCAACTCCTTCGATGTCACGTGTTTGTAGCTCCGGTCAGATATGAACCCCTTGAACCGGACACTCAGCTTGAAGGCCTATCCTAGGGGCTCAAACCAGGGAAGGTGAAGGTTGTTTTGATGTCGCCGCTTGAAGGATGGCTAAGTGTCCTCCATTGCAAGACAGTTTTGAGGTTGGCCTTGGCAATCTGCTCGTTTGACAGTGTGTACCTCTTGAACCATACCAAATGTTGCGGATCAAAGTCCAAATTAATATTGAAAACTGGGTAGAGAAAGGATATTCGAGTGCAGTCCCAACTGTAATTACACAGGTTGGTGTTCTGGCTCAGGAATTTGTCCAACTCACATGGAGATGCCAGTTTCACCAGTGCCTGCTGCAGCAGCTCCCTTCAGTGTTGGTTCTCCATATAGTTCGCCATACCCATGTGGCCATGAAATTGAGTGGGGAACATGTTAAACATTGGTGGCAAAAGATGTCCATCAAGGTGTCCCTGTTGTGGATGTGCGGAGTTGAGGCAGCGTCGACTTCACATTGGGTGAAACAACTTCTCTGGGGGACCCTCATTCCAAGACCCCAAATTGCTATAACTTACCGAAATGCTCTGCACTTACTGCGGTCGAAGCTACGCCGGCATTTCTGCGCAAGCTGTGGCTTCCCTAAAGCATCCTAAAAGTGTCCATTTGAGTCTATGACTGTGAGGCTTGGCCAAGTTTTCCAAGTGTCTATGGTTTGTATGGGAGGAACAACCCACATATAGCTTTGCGCACCCAGATGTCCAAAAAAACGCCGCAAGGACATCAAGAACGCTCTGACGGACTACAAGAACTTGAATGGCATTCGCTTAACTCAGAACGACATCGAGATCGTCTCAGACGAATCTTGGCGTTGGCGTTGTGTGTCATCCTTGCCGACCATGGGCAAAGGGGTAGAAAGAGCAAGTTGACCCACCAGCAGTGCAGACACTGCGTGAAAGGCGTGAAAGATGTGGGTAGCTGGTTGCCCAAGGATGGTGTAGTCGTAATCCGCTGAGAACTAGTGCGGATACTCTTTAAGCCTGCCAGCATGGATTTTCTGAGGTCAACCTGCCAGCAACCGGAAAATAGACCAAATTGACCAGCTTGCACCAGTATGGCGGGGCATTCAAGAGCATGTATGAGAATGGATCAGCATTGAGGATTGGGCAAATGGATAGAAGGAGGCAGTTTGGCGACCAGCAGTGCAATCATGTGCATGAAAGTCATGAAAGATGTTGGTAGCTGGTTGCCCAGGGCTGGTGTAGTCGTAATCCGCTGAGAACTGGTGAGGATACTCATTAAGCTTGCCAGCATGGATTTTCTGAGGTCAACCTGCCAGCAACCGGAAAATAGACCAAATTGACCAGCTTGCACCAGCATGGCGGGGCATTCAAGAGCATGTATGAGAATGGATCAGCATTGAGGATTGTCGGCGAATAGATAGAAAGAGGCAGTTCGGCCAGCAAAAGTCCAGACATGTGCGTGAAAGTCATGAAAGATGTTGGTAACTGGTTCCCCAAGGATGGTGTAGTCGTAATCCGCTGAGAACTGGTGAGGATACTCATTAAGCTTGCCAGCATGGATTTATTGAGATCAACCTGCCAGCAACCAGAACATAGACGAATTCACCAGCTTGCACCAGCATGCATCAGCATGGCGGTGCGTTCAAGAGCATGTATGAGAATGGATCAGCATTGAGGATTGTCGGCAAATGGACCCAAGGATGGTGTAGTCGTAATCCGCTGAGAACTGGTGAGCATACTCTTTAAGCTTGCCAGCATGGATTTTCTGAGGTCAACATGCCAGCAACCAGAAATAGACCAATTGACCAATTGACCAGCATGCATGAGCATGACGGGGCATGCAAGAGAGTTGAGGATTGTCGGTAAACGGATAGAAAGATCCAGTTTGGTCGAGCAGCAGTGCATGTGCAGGGAAGTTGTGAAAGATGTTGGTAGCTGGTTGCCCAAGGATGGTGTAGTCGTAATCCGCTGAGAACTGGTGAGAATACTCTTTAAGCTTGCCGGACTTTTAGGAGGTGCCAGCAACCATAACATATGCATCAACATGGCGACTCATTTAATCGAGGGCATGGATGAGCAACGAGGATCCATTAGGACAATTGGCAAACACGCACCAGTTCTTTCAATTCGAGTTCTACTTTGCTTGTCTTTGCTTGATGCTACCTGGGGACTTTCTTCATTCCTTTGTTTTGATCCCTTGGAATGCAACAGCCAGCGGTTTTTGTGTGACTTGCGCAGTCCCGGTGCGATAATTTCTGCCCGTTTGGCTTCCTGGAGCCCAAGGACAAGCTGCGGGTGAAACCTCCGAAGATGACGGCGGGGAACAAGATCTTGTACTTCTCCCTCCAGGCGAAGCGGCGAAGCCATGACGTGGGTGTGGCTTTGGGGTTAACCAAAAGGAAAGCCACCAATTTGCAAAGAGGTCCCCTAAAAGAACACAGACCCACATGGTGAAACACTTTGCTCGGTGTTTCCTTTAAGGACTATAAGTTCTCATCCAGCTCCCCCGACATGCTGGAGTTGAAACAAGCATGAGTTGAGTGCCTTAAAGCGAATCAACATGGCTGTGGCTCAAGAATATGTACCCAAAATGGAACCCTGTAAATGGAAACATGGACTCACACCTGTCCAATTCCTTTTGGTGAAAAAAGATTGACCCATACCCACGGTGGTTCACTTGAGTGCAGCTTCCATGCCATGGCCTGAGCGGATGGCCACAGGATCGATCGCCTTTTCACTCGCCTGGGAAGAGTCGTTACACCCCCTTGGAAGAACAGGGCTCCTTAAAAGAAATTCATGTTGCAACCATTTGAAACATGCTGTTTTTTCAACACCAACATAAAGAAATGGAAACCACCATGTACAAGGCAATGTTCACAAGTTGCAAGGTTCAGGTGTATAATGTAAGGATCCCTGAAGAAAGTGCTTCAACCTTTCCCGGGACCCGGGAGTCTTTGTTTT